GGGGGGGGGGAGGGGGAGAGACGGGGAGAGACGTACTGCGCATGGAGCGCGGGGTGCAGACGAAGATCGAGCCGTCGGCCATGCGGTAGATGCCGTACTCGACCTCGGGGCCGACCCAGCTGTTGGTGATACCGTACATGGTCTCCGGGCGGAGGGTGGCCGCCACGAGGAAGACATCACCGGCGGTGGCGGCCTCGGCCAGGGCCGGGACGAACGGGGCCACGGCCTTCATCTTGATCAGGGTGTACTCCTGGGGGCCGATGCCCTCGCCCGAGGAACGGTCGTGGTCCTGTGTGTGTGTGTGTGAGCGCGCGCGCGCGTGGCAGGAGAGGGGGGCGGGAGGCGCAAAGGGAGAAGGGAAGAGAGGGGCGAGCGGGGGCGAGCGAGCGTGCGAGCGCACCATGCACGCCTGGCCATCGAGGGGCGAGTAGATGGTGTAGCGCTTGCCGAAGCGAATGCGCTGGCCCTCACGGAGCTTGGCGAACTGCCAGCGAACGAACGAGTCATAGTAGGGGTTGACGTCGGTGGTGATGAAGGACCGGCGCCAGTCGATGTGAGCACCGAAGCTCTTGAGGTCGTTCTGCAGGGAGGGGGGGGAGGCGGGGGGGGGGGGGGTTAGAGCGGGGAGACACGGAGCAGGCAGCCGACCACAAAGGGGCAGGAGCACACGCACGATGCAGTGAGGCGGGAAGTACTTGAGCCAGTGATCGGTGTCCTGGAAGAGGGGGAGCTCCTCCTCGGGGATGCCCATGCTGGCGAGGATGTTCCAGACGAACTTCTCGCCACCGGTCTTGGCCGCAACCTTGGAGTGCTGCTTCTTGTCGCCGGCGGCGGCCTCCTGGCCGGGCTCGTCGGCCCCGGGGAAAACCGGGGGGTTGCCGTAGGTGGCGATCTCGTTCTTCAGGCGATCGGCCGACACCTTGATGGGCATGCCGGTGCAGTGGAAGCCGAAGGGGAAGACACAAACCTTGCCCATCATGCGCTGGTAGGCCACCGAGAAGTCGGCCTTGGAGAAGGAGAACGCATGGCCCAGGTGCAGGCGACCATTCATGTACGGGTACGGGAAGGAGACCATGAACTTCTGGTCCTTGGGCAGGTCCTCCGCGTTGGCCGGGGCATCCTGCTCGAAGGTGCGCCGCTCCTCCCAGCGCTTCTGCATCTGGGCCTCGATCTCGAGGAGCTCATCGCGCTTGGCCTGCGGGAGAGAGAGAGAGAGAGAGAGAGAGCGTGAGAAGAGGGAGGGGGGGGGGG